AAGCAGTTAAGAAATTAAGAGATAATTATGATTTGCTAGCCGTAGAGAAATTAAGAACCAGAAAAATCATGGAAAAAAGCCAAGCACAAAATCCGTGGTATTCAGCCAAAAGTCTCCATGATGCTAGTTTGAGTTTCTTTTTGCTAGCACTCGCCCACAAAGTGGAAGAAACTGGTGGGCGATTGGTAAAAGTTAATCCGGCTTATACTAGCCAAAGATGTAGCAATTGCCAACAATTAGCCAGTCAAAAGTTAGAATTAAGTGATAGGGTTTTTGTTTGTGCTTGGTGTAAGTATAAAGAGGATAGAGATATCAATGCGGCTAAAAATATCTTATACCAAGCCCAAATAACGGAGTTGGGAACCAACTTCGTCAATCAGGGTAAAATCTGATAATTCTTTTTAGAAGCCCCCACTTCTATAAGCGGTGGGTAGTTCACTGAACCAAAAACCATTATATATGCTGATTAAGAAGAAAAAAATCCGTAATTTTTCAATTATCGCTCATATCGACCATGGCAAATCTACTTTGGCTGACCGTTTGCTCGAAAAAACTAACCTCAAAGGGAGCAATAAGTCTTTGGAAAGAGTGCTCGACAGCCTTTCATTAGAACAAGAAAAAGGGATTACTATTAAATTAAATGCAGTCCAACTATATTATCCACCAGAAAGCCCCGAACCTTATATTTTTAACTTGATTGACACGCCGGGACATGTGGATTTTATGTATGAAGTATCTCGCTCGTTGGCGGCTTGCGAGGGAGTGATTTTATTAGTAGACGCTACCAAAGGCATTCAAGCCCAAACACTGGCTTATTATGAAATTGCGAAAAAACTTAATCTAAAAATCTTGCCAACAATTAATAAAATTGATTTGCCCCACGCTCAATTAGAAACTACTAAAAATCAACTTATTGAACTTCTGAACTGTCAAGAGAATGATATTTGTCTAATTTCGGCCAAAACGGGAAAAAATATTGACTTGTTGCTAGAAAAAATTATTGCTGACATTCCGCCTCCACAGTAAAAGTAAATTTCATATTGATAATAAAATTGCGATAACCCCAACTTTAAACTTACAAAAAAAGTGGAACGAGAATTAGAAAAAGACAAAAAATGCGTTTTTCTCAATCAAACTTCTATAAAATTATAATATAGAGTAGCAATCTATATTAATATCTCTATAATAATATATAAAGAACAACAACACTATGACACAAAAAAATAACATTCCTCCTTATGGAGAAGAACAAATTATTAACCAAGAACAATTGTCCATCCAAGAAATCTTGGCTCAATTTCAACAACCAATACCTAATAATTTTATTCCAATAGAGACGGAACACATATGTTCGACCAAGTCAAAATGGGATAAACCTTTATCAGAAAGATATGGTTTCACTCATGAGGGAAATTGAATTCAAATTGATATCCCCCATACCATTATTAGAAAAAGGCCAAGATATCACCCAACCTCTTTATTTAGATCCGACTGTTTTAACTCGTCCAGAAACTTATAAGGGAATTACTATTGAAAACGAGGTTGAAATCTTTGTCCAACAATCTTTTACAATCAATAATTTAGAAAAAAAA